GTTGTTTAGCCTTCTTGGGAGGCTTGGTAGACACAGCCTTAGAAGAAGACGCCTTTTTTGCTGGTTTTTTAGGCGGTTTAGTAGCAGGCGCCTCTGAAACCGCAGCCTCCGATGGATGAGATGTAGTCTGGGGTTCAGGCGGGGAGGCGGTCGATGGAAGTTCCATTGCCGAAGGCTTTGACGCCGATAAGGTGGAGTCCCACAAGAGCAGTTTAGTCCCACAAGTGCAGTTTAAGGCGTTGCTGTCTAGCTTTCAAGGCCGCCTTAGTAAAAGCTTGGCAATGCCTGCAAGTCTGGGGAGAATGGGATGCACCCAGACAAAAAAGACACGTGTCGTGCCCGTCCTGAAAAGGGATCTTGCCCGAGCAAACGACACACCGGCTAAAGGGTCCAGATGGCGGAGGGGGCATAGGCAGGAATCACAGGGACCAGGAGAAGCCGGTAAAAAGGGCGGGAAAAAATAGGGTAAAACGGGGTGGAAGAAAAAAATACCCGAACGATACCCAACAAGTCCGCAAAGAAGTGGCAATGTCCGTAGACGATCCGAGGTCAAAACCAGAAGAATAAAATGCAAAAAAGCAATCCGAAGAGGGAATTTTAGCAGAGCTAAGAATGAGAGGAACCATTTCACACAGCGGAGAAATGGAACTGAGGCTTGGGCTCTAGAAGATTCCGAAAGGGACCGACGCTGGCGCTGACTTAACCCTTTATGTGTGTATTCACAGAAGACCACGATGAAGAACTGTGTATGCTAGTAAAAGATAATTTTCATGGAATCAGGGAGGAAAAATCTAAAATTAATATCAAATTAATACAGAGCCAACAGTACAAGACTGATGCATATATTTGTTTCGATTTCGTTTCTGAACGTGTACGTTTTGCAGAGCTGAAGCAAAAACAGAGGGAAGGAGGGATTAACAATTCAAGACTGAAGAAACATCTTCTCAACCAACATTTTAAGCACTGTTACTGGCACTGAAGCCATTTTCAATTTGTGTATTGGCACGCTCACAGCTCGTGGAGAGATATGCCAGAAAAATGATAAGGTCCATGACTGCAAACAGCATATTGGCCATGATAATCAAAATGTCCAATTTGCAAAAAGGCAATTGGGAGGAAAACATCTATGACAAATTCTCTACATGAAACAATTATGCTCACATCTTACAATTAAAACAAAACAAAATTTGGAGATTCTTGCATTAGTTTCCCATGCTTCGGAAGGTACTCTGGCATATAGAAAGGCACAAAAAGGATACTTATTAACAAACACCCTGCTTTGTGTAGTATCAAATGGTTTCCATGTAGAACAGTTTTTTAAAAAGCCAATGCAATATGAAAATATGCCTTCACACCAGGTTAGATTATGGAGTGCATCAAATATGCATTACTGAGAGAAATTTCACTTTCCTAATCATAGAACTCTTCCCCATACACACCTTAAATAATGCAAGTCTGAGATCTCCTTCATACACAGCCAACAGAATTCGCAGCCACAGACAGCGCATGTCATGTGATTGCAGCTTCCATCATTCATCTTTATTATATAAGCAGCACAACGTGGGCATGGCTTTATGTCATCAGCTATTTAAAAAGAAAATGAAGAAACACAGTACTCATATAGCTTCCAAATATAAAATGAAATATTCAAGACAGAATATCCTTTAAAAATTCTTATCAAGCAGCTATCTGGAGTTTTGGTTACAGGAAACTGCAAGAAAATTATATCCACAAATAAGCATGAGCTAATTAAATATTTCTATTTAAATAGTGAGATGGTCAAATTCTATATACAACATTTCAACGTTACAGAATAACTGAATTTGTTCAAAAGCCCATGTTTAAAGTGTCCTCTCCTTAGGGCCTGAATGTTGAAATTACTCACAAAGAACAGAAGAACAGGTTTTAAGAAGGTGTGATTTGAGTACAGAGGGGGAGTAGAAAATACTATTCCACCTACTTCTTCACGCCTCTCAAAAATTGTTTCTCCTAAGAAAAGTAGCTGGAGCAGTGTTTAATCTGTTTACATGTAACCGATGGCTAGATGACAAGGTAGGCTTCAGCAATATGTGGCAAGGCAAGACATTACACCTCTTGTACAGGTAACAATGAATGTATTATCATGCTGCAACATTATCATGAATGACACAATTTTGTGTCAGTGCAAAAGTGGTTTTTTTAATCTACAAAGATCTAACCACCACATTAACCAGTGCTTTTATAGTCAGATGCTCTGCCCCCCCCAAAAAAAATGCAGCCAAGAGCTTCATCAACAAATAAGAGTAATCAAGACCAATTTTCACCAACCAGTTACCTTCACTGTCATCCATTCATGCCAGACACCTGCTCTCACCACTGATTTCAGGACAGTTTTAAAAATCTGGTACCAACATTTATAGTGTTGAAACAAAGGTACTATAACTCTCCTTTCTTTACAAACATACATAATCAGGAAAAAGGAGTTGCCCAAGCGGCTATATTAAACTATCTAATATATACAGTATTTCCAGTCATGAATACCTGCAGCTCCAGACTCCTGACTGTAGCTAATGGATGAAGAACGAATTGTTCGCAATCGTAAACTCTGAGCTCTTTCCTGCCGAGCAGCATCACAGGTCTGGTTGGGATGCCAGATTTGTTTACAGTGGTAGCAGAACTCTGTTCCACAGCCTTCACGCCCACACATAAGTTTGGGACAGCTTGCACAGCCAAAAGCAATCACCGCGTACCTTGGATGTTCAGGAACAAACAGAAAAAATATACTTTATTCTCAGTACTATTTTGTGTTGATTAAAATAGCTGACTTTGGGGGAAAATTCAGAAGCAACTTTCTTTATGTAGGCGGAAGCACAACAGCACTCATGGAGATATAGTTAAGATAAGTAAAATAAAACTCTCAGCTAAACTGCAAATTTTCCACTAGGATGTTCTATTTGTTTTGTTTTGTATTTGGACACCAACCTCCAGAATTCTCCAAGAATTCCCCAGGCAGAATCCTGGGAGTTCTAGCCCACAGATCCACACCTACAGATACCTACAATTTCACTCACCTGGACGATGCAGGGCCTGTCTCTGCATGGTTGTCTTGGGCCTTGCTTCCTATTATTAATGTACAAGAAGGGAAGTTGCTGTGGTGATTCCCAGGGGTCTCAGTTCTTCAGGAGGTGCCCTCTGTAAAGCTTATAGAGCAGTGAGACTACAACTCCTGAAGAAGAAGCCGTACTCATAGATAGGCACTGGTCCAGGTGAGTGAAATGTTGTATCTATAGATGTCTGAGGTATATGGGCTAGAACTCCCAGAATTCTACCTTGAAAATCTGTGGAGAGTTCTGGGAGCTGGAGTAAAAAAATGATTTGGTATGTACTCTAAAGTCTAAAGCCAAAGCCACCTGTTTCAAAGTGGAATAGCATGATTCAGATTCTTACATTTTAAGCTACCTGTAGCAATGATATTTTTTTAAAAGCCTCCTTCAGATGATACACACCTTTTAGCCATGAGTAGTTAACACAAGTACAGTACGACCCCTGTATTTGCGGGGGATTGGTTCCAAGCCCCACACACGGATAAAACCCTATACGTTCAAGGCATTCTCTATTCAAATGATAGTATCAAGAAACAGTAATGTAATGCTGCCATACTTGCAGAAAGACAGACATATTTAATAGACCAACAGGAATTTAATTCTTTTCAAGTGGAAATATACACTTTGTAATATCAAGGAACAGGAGTTTCTCATATGCTTAGAGATGATTTTCAAAATCTGAAAGCAACAAGGCCTAGATTTTACGTATGGAGTTATACCTTCACTGTCCACAGAGACAAACATTTTTTCATTTGAGAAACTGTGTGTCTTTCTCACAAGAAATTCAAACAATGTGGTTGAACATTATAGAAAACAATTCATCTGTAATTATCTGTCATGGGCAGGTTAGTATTCTCTATAACCTATACCAGTGGTTGGTTGAAAGAAAAAAACATACATGGCCACAAAGGATATTTATGTGTTTTAGAGAAGGCATGCATATTATCAGTCTGATTCTAAGACTTTGCTTTGGTTGCAGTAACAAACTGACTTGTTTTGTGAAAACTAGAGATGAAGAGGATTCCTTACAGCAGCCGACTAATTCCCAGCAATCAAGCCAGAGAAGCAGGTGAGGTACGGAAGTAATGACTGACCTCTTTATGTACAGGACTGCAGCTGAAATCCAGAAAGTGGAGCATGTTTTTACACCACAAGTTTAAAAAAAAACAACAACTTTAATACAACACAGAGTTCAGATACTATGAATTCTTTGTGATTCTGGACATCTTTGATCACATAGGACCCTATGAACACACAAATAATACACATACTCTCTCTCACACTCTCTTAATATATATATATTTGTAGCACTATGAGTAACTGCAAGGCAGTTCTTTGTTGAAGAACTGAGGTGTGAAATCCAACCCACAGATGTCTCAGCCACAACTTTAAAACAATAACCTTATTGCTTCCTGCCTCGTCTAAGACATATGTGCCTGGCGAAATTCATTTTGCCAAGAACTTTACATCTAAGAGTTACCGGTACCTCCAGGAAACCCCATCCTGCCAAAAACATTTGGACTTTTGGTACTTGCTTTGAAGAATTGGGATTTATCCCCAAATGTTTGCATATTGTATTATTTTTTTAAATTAGTGGCCTATAAAGGTATCTCCTATTCTTGCATTTGTATTTTATAACAACCACATGTATCCCTTTTTTTTTACTGCAAGACAAAAAAATCTTGCACTGTACCGAACAGAAAGACAGGAAGGGTTTTTTATGTTTTGGTCTCCCTGGGAACTGCTCCTGCTTCACAATGGAGGAAAGCCTGAAACTCATAGAAATACAAACCACAGGGTTTCCAATGAAGTGAAGTGTTCACCTATTTTATTTCAGAAAGAACATCATTGTATTCTAGCTGCCTGTATTCAGTTTTGGTTTTTTGAGCATACAGTTCTTGCCATTATCTGTTGTGTTCTATGACGGTTATAAAACAAGTAAGACGACTCTAACTGCAACTGAAATATCAATAAACTACATAAAATCACTTGTATTTAACTTACAATATGCCAACAAAGCAGCTTTGATTAATGAATGTTTATATACTATAATAAGTATTACATAAAAATCAGTCATCTGAAGGAACAAGATTGTGCTTATGCAATCTCACATAAAAATAATCTTTTAAGGTGACACAACCTTATTTTACAAAAGACCTATGTTCCCAGCTGCACACGCTATCAAGAACAGAACTGTTCACTAATTTCATGAATTAGTTTATACTAGAACTATGGAATGCAGCAGTCATAAAGCAGTTTTTTTAAGAAATGCAAAACATTCTCTGTAGGATTCCTGTCATGATAAAAGAAGTACAAGCACAATCTTCTGTGGTAGTTTGGATTTTATTTGACTGATGAAAGTAAACACTGATAGAGGGTTGTGGCGGCAAGCATTCTTGGAAGACACTGATAGTCTGGATTCATTCCATCCGGCATCCAGGCTGCGCCATGGGACCAAGACAGTTCTGGTCACACTGCTTAATGATTTATTAAGGGAGGCTGACCAAGGGAGTGTGACCTTGTTGGTCCTTCTGGATCTCTCAGCAGTCTTCCATACTGTTGACAATGGTATCCTGGACAGCCTGTTAAGTTTAGAGAGTGGAGGTTCGGTATTAACTCTGGCTCCAGTCCTTTCTTAATGGCCATGTCCAGAAAGTGCAGTTTAAGGATGCTGTTTTGACTCCATGGATTCTGCATTGTGGAGTCCCACAGGGGCTAATAATCTCCCCAATGCTCTTTAACATCTATGCCATTGGGCGAGGTCATCTGGAGATTTGGAGTTCACTTTCATCAATATGCTGATGACACACAAAACTATCTCTTCCTCTTATCATCAGCAATGGAAGCTGCGAGAAGCCTGAAGCAGTGCTTGACCTCTGTTATGGACTGAACAAGGGCTAACAGATTGAAATTGAATCTAGACAAGAAGGAGACCATGTTGTTGACAGTGGAGCCTGCCTGGTTAGGAGGCATTTTATCTGGGCTGGACAGAATTCCATCTGTCCTAAAAGACTAGTTCCTCAACTTGGATATGTTTCTGAACCCAGTTCTCTCAATGGAGAATCACATTTCTGTCATAGCCAGGTTTGCCTTTTCTCATCTTTGGCAGAATGCGGTCTTTTCTAGACAAAAACTCCCTAATCACACTGATTTCTATGTTGGTAATCCCTAGGATTCACTACTGCAATGCCTTCTATGTGCTGCTGCCTTTGAAGGCAACACGGAAGCTTCAGTGGGTACAAAATGCACTGGCTGGATTAGTATCAAAAGCATGGAGAAATGATCACATCTCTCCAATTCTGGCACGCCTGCACTGGCTGCCTGTCTACTTCTGTGCCAAATTCAAAAGTGTTACTGGTAACTTATAAAGCCTTTAACAGTTTGGGACCCTGTTACCTGGTGGAGTGTCGCTCCTTAAGTCTACCAGGGGCCCCTGTTTAGGCAGGCTTCATGGTTGTGAATGGCCACCCCAGAGAGGCCTGGAAAACTATCATCAGGTACCAGTAGTGGCTGCAACACTACGGAATGCATTGCCTGTTGATGTGTGGCAGGTTTGTTCCCTTCTGACATTCAGGAAAGGTATGAAATTTGAACTTTTCAGAGAGGCCTTTAGGAACATCTTCTCCCTTTGATATTCTCACAGATCCATGTGTTTCAATTTGTGTCTCAGTTTGAGTTTACTTGCCATTGCCTCTGGGATTCTTTTTTTTTTTAAATTACTGGTGGGTTTTTGTTTGGTGTGGGTTATTTTTACTGCTGTTGTAGCGCTCTGTCACTAGATGGGTTGGATAGAAGTACGGATATAATAAACAAACAAACATGCACACATGAATATAAAATGCAGGCAGTATGGGAATAAGTGTACACCATGAGCACTTTAAAATACAAAACCACAGGTACATTTAGTCTTGTATTTAAGGTTTTTCTTACTGGCAGAAAAACACGTAACTCACAATTTACCATATTTTTCTGTGTATAAGACATCCCATGTATAAGATGCCCCCCACGTTTCTATCCCAAAATTAAGAAATCTAAGTGGGGCTTAGCAAATGTAGGGTAAAAAGGATCAAAGTGCCGGAGGATGGCTTTGATCCCTGCTTTCTCCCTTTATGCCAAGCCCTGCGTGGCTTAGCAAAAGAATGGGGGAAATGGACCAAAGCAATTCCACAACTGCAAAATTATTTTGATCCCTTTCTCCCTTATACAGCCACGGGATTGCTGTGATCCTTCCCCCCTCCTTTTGCTAAGCCCCATGGGTCTTAGCAAGCAGAGGGGAAAGCAGGGATCAAAGCCATCCTGCACCACTTTGATCCCTGCTTTCCTTTTGCTAAGGTTTAGCAAATGGAGGAGAACGCAGGGATCAAAGACCTGCAGGATCACTTTGATCCCTGCTTTGTGCTTCACTTGTTTTTTTTCCTCAACTTACTTGCGTGTATAAGACTGTCAAAGAAAATTACAGGCCTGAGCAGAATAGAGAATCCATAATGAACAGATGTGTTAAAACTGAGTCATGATGACTCAGCAGTGCTGATGCAACTCATGGATGATGCAACTCAGGGATGATGCAACATGTAATCTGATTGGTTCTGTATATGTATATATGTGTGAGTTGTATCCTTCCTGCTTGAGATGACTGCTACTCGTTATGCTGCCAGACTGCTGTAAATATATGTTGGTGGAGGAAATGCTGCTGGAGTGTGCGAACCAAACAAATGAACATGTGAGTACCAAAATATTTGCAAGTACAACAATTTTCCGAACATCAAAACTGTGTGTGCCAGGTGATGTAATCAAGGAGCATTTTAAACTTAAATCAAAAAAATTATTAAAAGCATCTTTTGAAAGAAATAATATGCTACATATTAAAGCAGTTTTGGGCTTTAACATTTATAATCTAGTAATGTGGGAATTAATGAAAGAAGAAAAAGAATAACTACCTACCCGCAATCTGGAGCAGGACACCATCTACAATCAGGGTCTGCAACAAGCCACCGTCTAAGCATAAATTCTTCATATTTTTCCATCAAGATGTCATCATTTAATATCAATCGAATGTCGTGTGGATTAAATCGCTCAGAGCATTCAGGACAGCTGATATTAACTCTGCTCTCAGAAATTTCTATCCGGAGATACTGTCGTAAGCAATCTACACAAGATCTATGGTGACAAGTCATTATTTCTGGAAATCTCTCCTTAGCGTGCCGCAAAAGGCACAAAGGACACTCCATGAAGTCTCCACTCTGTTTACTGCAGATGTTTGTTCCATTCTCAGATGACATATAGGCAGAGAAAATGGAGTTCTTGTCTGTGCACATTTCTGAGTGTATAGTTTCAATACTTGCAATCCCATCCACTCCTCCATTTATATCTCTGGATTTGCGTTTTGTATCCCTTTTTCTTCGAAAGAAAGATCCCAATGAAATTCTTCTTTTCTTTGGTGCCTTTTTAATTGAAGGCAAGCTTACAGAAGAAGCAGACGACTGCAGGTCCCTGTCAGATCCCATTTGCCGATGTAAACTCATGGCCAAAACACTCATCAGAATTAGATCAATACGTATGTCCAACTTTAATCATTTTAAGGATAAAAACACTACTGGGAAGTTGCACATTCTGGTCATGTTGGGAGTGGAGCTTAAGTCATGTTCTGCATAGTCAGATGAGATTTTTTCAGTGTAAAATTCTTCTAATTCCAAGAAAACTCTCTGGAGACTCTGTAAATGAGGAAATAGATTAGCATTGCGTGCATTCAAGTCCTCTAATCATTTTTAAAGTACTTCTATGTTGTGCTTAGTCATATTACAGGGCCTCATCAACTCATGCTCCAGCCACCTGTTTCATTTGTGTTTATTAACAAGACAGTATCAACAGAAAACGCAGATGTCTTTCTATTGTAACTAGACAACATGTAGATAATAATATTTTAGAATAATACAGTGGTGCCTCGCATTACGACGTTAATTTGTTCCAGTGAAATCAATGTAGAACGAAAACGTAAAGCGAAAATAAAAAAGCCATTGAAACGTATTAAAACCTGGTTAATGCGTTCCAATCGGCTAAGAACTCACCATCCAGCGAAGATCCTCCATAGGGGTGGCCATTTTCGGGTGCCTGTGCAGCAAAAAATGGCTCCTAAACACAGCAGGGAGCCATTTTGAGCACCCGGTGGCCATTTTGAAAACCCGACGATCAGCTGTTTTGATTGTCGGGAAGCGAAAATCGGTTCCCGAAACAGGGAACCAATCATTGCCCAGCAAAATTCCCCCATTCAAAACGTCATTTTGCGATCGCTTTTGCGATCCCAAAAACCTCGTTGTAATGCGGATTCATTGTTAAACGGAGCACCCGTCTTGCAAGGCACCACTGTATTTTGTAAGCCACCCAGAGTAGTAGCATGTTCACTAAATGGATGGGGTATAAATCCAAACAAACAAATAAAGAAATAATGAGAATCACAATCCCAATAAAAATACCTAAGGAACAAAGGCAGAAGAGAAATGGGGAACAGGAAGAATGAAGTGGGGGAGAAGAAAGAATGAAGTAGAATAGGATGCTAAAATCCTGTTGCTCAGTGCAGTAAATTCCCTGATATTATAACCATGTAAACCCTGGATGCTTCCTATGAGTATGCACTGATATCTAGAAACGTAATAAATGGAATTACAAATATTATCTGCCTCAATAAATGCACTTTTAACTTTCACTTACCATCCCTCCCTATAGAAGTAGACTCTTCTGTGGAGGTATTAGACCTGAGATCTGCACTGCCACTAGTTTCTTGGCTGTTGTTTGTCCCAGCCTGTGTGAACATTCTCTTGACATTCTAGCTTATATAAGTGGAGATTTTTTAAAATAAATATGAAGTTATATGTGCAATATTATGACTGAAATGGTACATCTACTTTAATGTCAGTGCAAACATGTTCCTAAAGTTCTGAAATATGTATGAGATCACAACAAATCTCACAATAAAAATTGCAGCCTTAATAGCATATATTATTTGTATAAAACAGTTGGTTCAGATCCAAAAAAATATAATTCCAGTACCAGAAAGGGATTTATGGGTTGTTTCCATCTTCAGTGAAACATATATGAATAGTACAAAGTGGTTCTTCTATTCGTGCATGTCCTCACAAAGATTTTCCCCCACAAGCTCTATAAAGATTTTTCCAAACAACCCATACAAGTTTTAAACATTTAATCACATGAACTAGAATTAACAATTCCTCAGAGAAATATAGTAAGTTCAATGTTGTTTTGAGAAGTCATACAATTCGAACTAATACAGACTAACATTAAGTTTGTATCCATTTCCTCCATATGAAATATGAAACAGCTAATTATTTCTCTCTCTCATGACCCTGTAGAAAGTAGCTGCACTTTCAAATCTAAAAGCTATTAAGTAGTAGTCACTTGCAATTATGCTACTGCAGAAAAGTCTCAGTTAAATTTACTATGACAAGATTAGGGCCCATGCATTTACAAGATGCATAAAGTGGTCTTTTATTATTTATTTATTTATCTGGCTTCTATACCACCCATCTGACTACTAGGCCACGCTGAGCGGTTTACATACCGTATTTTTCGCTCCATAAGACGCAGTTTCCCCCCCAAAAAAGTGGGGCAGAAAGTATGTGCGTATTATGGAGCAAATGCTATAAAAAAGGGTTCAGGCACCATCACTCAGAAGCCTCCCACCGCCATGCTGGGAGGCCTCTGAACTGGCACCAGAGGATGCTTGCTGTGGCAGCCACATTAGACCTTACCACTCTGCCATCTACACTGCTGGCTTTCCAGGATCTGCCTCCTGGAAAACCAGCAAGGCCAACAGGCCTATGGCAACAAATTTAAATGACAGAGGGCAGTGAAAACAGGCAAGGACCAAAGGAGAAAGAGTGATTCTAAAAAGGCTAGTGGAAACCACAAACACAGTCCCCCACTACCATAAATTAAGCAGTTGATTTTCCCACATTTGGGGAAATTACAGGGATCAGCACATCCGAAGTGCAATGGATGAGCCTTACAGTGGGAAAACCACTTTTACGATCATGGTATCTCCCCTGCCAGGTATGACTTAGAGTGGCCCCTGCACCTCCTATCCCCTTCTGTGCCCTGCCCCCCCAAGGCATGGTGACCCCCCGCTGCACTTCCTGCTCAGAACAGGGCTGCACAGTCCCAGTCCCCTCAGAGGCCAAGAGAGCTCCTCAGTGTTTTGGGGTGCCCCACAGGACCCCCATCAGGGGCTGGGTGTTCCTCCCACAATCCTCCAGTGCACAGATATTAGCATACCTAATGTGCGGTGAAGGCAGGGAAAGCGGGAAAGTTAGTGAAAAGGCTGCACGTCTGCTTCCTTACTAGCCCAAGCTGTTAGAGAGCTGGGAGAGAGACCTGAGACTGCCTGGTATTGTCATTTTAAAATGTGAAGAAACCTGCTTGTGTAGAAATGTGCACACTTGCTTTAAAAGCTTCTAGTTTTGCTTTAAAATCTGCCTGGGAAGCCTTTCAGACCAGTGCCGATCAGCTATGAGGTGGGGAGAGGGAAGGAGCATAGAAGAGCACAAAATGGCTGCCGTCTGCCTGCTGGGTGCCGGCTTTTAGCTGTTTGGTGCTCTTTTTCGGCTGTTAGGCACTGTGAAGAGCCGGGCACAGTCTACAGTACCTGGTGACTTTTAATTTTTTTAAAGTTTCTGACCTTTTCCCCCCATAAAAATGCATTAATTAATTTTCATTTTATTTCTATGGGAAATTTGAATTTGACTTGCAAACTTTTCAACTAAGTCTGGGCATCTAATAGAGAATGTATTTCCAAAGGGTGTTGCAGCAAGGAAACTAACTGTGCTTTATGAGCCAGAACAAACTTGGCTGCTGATCACAAATTAACCCTGCATACATGGGAAAGCAAAATTCAGTCTTACTTTTAGTTGTTTCCAAGTCCTTATGGTTGTGGTATCTCTTTGATGTATCTAAATCAGAACAGGGCCAGGAAGTCTCAGAGACAGGGCATAGTTATTTGGTTAGAGTTGGAACAGAGTTCTTGCTGTAGCACAGTGGTTCTTAACCTTTGTTACTCAGGTGTTTTTGAACTGCAACTCCCAGAACCCCCAGCCAGCAGAGCTGATGGTGAAGGCTTCTGGGAGTTGCAGTCCAAAAACATCTGAGTAACAAAGGTTAAGAACCAGTGCTGTAGCACATACTACATTTGCTGATACAGTAGTTTAAAAATTAAGAAAGTCAAAATTCTTAGTGACTTCTAACTGGATTACAGTACCTGCTTCCTGATTTCAGCTACTATAGTTTGTATTCAGTTTTTTTGGTTCGCCAAGAACATTGTTCCTGGTTGTCTTGAATAACCTGTTGTGCCTTGCATGCTATAAACGTTCAATCATGTCAGAAAACCAAGATTTGGTCTTATGCAGGGCATGTGCTACTGTTGGTGAATGGGATCAGGTTAAGCTTTGTGTTGCTGTTCTTTTGCATAACCTAAAATAAATAAGGAAAAACAGCTGTTAAATAGTTTAATTCCACTATTTATCCTCCACACAACTAAAAGGGACCTCTCAATGCAGTGCCAAATCAGTCAAGCCATTTCTAACTTAATATGTATAGGCTTCAGCTGTAGCTGGGCAGAGTTGCACAACAATCTCATCTGTCATTGAGTCATTTCTATAAGCATGGGGAGGAGGTGGATGAAAGGAAATGTAAAATATAGGTAGTGTGGTATAGGTCTTATCACCAGCTGATAATGGTCTATATGTACTTAAATTTATGGTACACAAATTTATGGTACATAAACTAGAGTACACAAAGCTTTAAGCCTCTCCATTTGTTGATGACAGTGGTAATGGTTCTTAATGCCACTGTTGACTGCTGTTCACTTACATGGTTCAAATGTTATTCTGTTATAGTTTAGTAAATATTTTATTACACTATTTGGTTCAGAATATGTTTTCCTGTGTTCCTCCTCTAAAAATTAGGTGCATCTTAAGGTCAGGTGCATCTTATGGAGCAAAAAATACGGTACTAAACATCTTTTAGTTTGACAGGTATATCCAGGAAGAGATAGAGAAGTTGGAAACAATTTTTTAATCAACAGGCCAAGAAACTACAAGACATGAGAGTACTAATTCTAGACAGAAAATAATTATTATTATAACACTACATGTTTTAGGTTTTGTTGTACACCACCTTGGGAAAGCTGACTACAAAGGCAGATTATACTTATTTTTTAAAAAATCTTGATGTTTTTATTTGCTTGTCAAATCTGATATGTTGTTGTATATTCCCTTTTATAGCAGCAGTCCTGCTAGGCAACTAATACATCCCTGTCCTTACATAGGTCTTTGCTGAGTATGCTGCTATCCAAAGGCTCCTTCAAGTCTGTGTCTAGTGAAAGAGTAACAGTTTAGACCTTCATATTTATTTCAAACTGAAAAATATACTGAGTCAGCAATAGAAGAAGCCAATCCGTTCATTTTCTGTTAATCTGAACTCTCTTTCCAGAAAGATGTCAACTGCCCAATGGCTTTTAAAGTCTTGGCAGAACTCAAATTATTTGTGTTTGAAAAGAACTGCAACTCTTACAAAGATAGACTCATTTGTCATCTAGCCTTTACTTCCAGTAAAAATGGTAGAAGCATAAATAGTAGAAATCTTCAGAACTGTTGACATTAAATAAAGCTATCCTTAGCAGAGGAAAGAAATAGCTAACAACTCA